TATTACATGGCTCCATTACAAATGTATTTACTTCTCGCTCAGCTGAAAATAAACTGGAACGCACCATTGGCAATCTAAATGATCAACACTACATTAAAAAACAGTTCAACTCAGCAATCACAAGCTACCGATTTCAATATCTGTAGGGATTTTCTTCTAACAAAAATCCTTATTTTGCAAAGCCCTGAACCACTTGACAGGGATCCTCACCGGCACACACCGAACACCCATGCCACAAGACTGCAGTGCAGCTGGCCAATGCAAAGGTCATCAGTCCTCCGGTGCTCAGCAGCCCACGCAGCTACGCACATCCTCTTCTTCCGAGTGGCCGCACGCTCCTTCTTCCTTAAAGCACAGGAGCCACGTCGCTGTGTTCGTAACATCGCACCTATGTACAACCACTACACGTTATCGTGGAGCCCAGCACGCAGCCTGAAGTGGCCATTACTAGGGGTACCTGCTGCTTACAGCAGTACGCGACCGAAGTTTGGCTCCCTTGGTATTTACATCACAGCAATTCAAACATGAGATCTCACTTTTCTTTCCAGCAAATCTTAGTCTTCGAGTTAAACGTGCCCTCATAAACACACTTTTGGTAGAGGCACATCAAGAGCTGAGGAAGGAAGCACTATTCAGTGAAAGGGCCACGTCAAGAATCACGTGGGAATCTACATGTAATGGTAGGTATGTAAATGTACCTATGCTCACATGAGATGTGGAACACAAGCAGGAACCAGCAAATAAATATTAAGATATTTAAACTAAAAAACCCCCACCATATCGAAACAGGCTATGCTACCACATTTAACATTCTAACAGCTACAGCTTGAAACAGCAACTTCAGTTTAAGAAAAAAATCTCACCTTTGCAAATTTACAGTTGCTTTAGATTGCTTTTAAAACAAAATGAAGGACGCCAGAAGTCAATTCAATAAGAAGCTGTTACCGCTTATTGTGATGATAGACAAGCTAACAATGGATCCCATTTGACCTCAATGTTCTGTTTCTGTAGGCGGAGATTTGACATTCGGATGCTTTATCAGCCATATAAATTTAACTGTCTGCAGAAAGCTCTCTTAATTTGTCTCATCCCATTCCCTCATCCAGCTACGATAACTCTCTGACTCTGAAGGCAAGTACCTGCCAATTTGCTTCAATGCCAGTCTTTTAATATTCTTGGTGCAGATAATGTACGAGAATGCTAGAGGGACCAGATCACTTCAACTGAAAGCAGCAGTGAGATTTTCTTCATATATATGAGCTGATCACCTTAGTTACCCTTTGAAGTTAGTGAAGAGGAATACCTGCTTCAACTACATGATGCCTCACATCCTAAATATGCTTTCCTTAGGAGATGAATCATGTTTCAGATTACCTGTTTTTTTCCCAGTGACTATACAGAGAAACTAGGATGAATAGCTCAGATGCAGGTATCTCAATATGAAGGAAACAAGTTCCCAGTGAATAGGCCCAACATTTTTAACAAACCATTCAAAACTATTGAAGATTTTTATTTCTGAGTGCTCATAGACACACACAACCCACGTCTCGAAAGTTTAAATCCTAAGTATGAAATTAAATAACAGGAAACTTCACGTACATGGCATTGGTCTAAACACGAGAGAACCATACAATCAGGGAACTCCCTTGGAAGTTTTTGGTGAAAAGAGACTGTCATCCATAGCAGTCATTGTGAATATCTTCCTGACTCCATTCTGTGCATTGAATCTTTCTGTATTTCTTTCCTCAGAACTGTATTGGAACAAGCAATCTTTGAGGAAAAAAAAAAAAAAAGTATCCAGGTTTCTTAATTTCACTACAGAATCCAGCAGGCCAGCTGATAAGAAGGAAACTTTAATCTTCTGTAATTAGCAATGGTGGAAAGGTAACATGGGTAAAAAATCCAGCACACTGGAAAGACAGACAATGTTTTTAACAACAGTTATGTACAAAACCAGTTTTTCTTCACCTTTCTCTCTTCCAGGTTGGGTGTTCTGCACTATTCCCGGAGTCAGTTATGAGGTATGAAAAAACAAGCAAAAGGTTAACATTATAACCATTTTAATAAAACTCACTGTATTATTTGCACTCTCAAAATATTTCTGAAAATAAAGTAAAAAAATATTTAGCATTCTTGAAAGTCTTAAGGAATTTTTTATTAAAAAAGCAGTCTTGTTTGTTACTTCTTTTGAACACAATTCTGCCTCAACTTATGCTCAGACATAAGTGTATCCTTCTTATTACCATCATACAAGTAGTCACATTGAATTTCTATAGCACTGAAAATGATATAAAACAAATAAACCCTCACAAAAATATATACAGGTAGCCAGAAAACTAATCAAGAAGAAATCATGTTGTCTGTATTGAAGAGTAAACACCATCTTCAAATACCAACAAAACATCCAATTTGTTGGCATGCCTCTCCCATCTAAGACTCTTGAGTAGAAGGACGAACTGACTTCCACAGAGGAATTCCTACAACAACTTTGTTTCATAATGACCTAGAGAGAATTCACACCCCATACATAATATTGATCTAGTGGATTTCTGTAAAGCTAATACGGCAGGCAACAGGGAAAACGGTACATATGAACTTCATGATGAGAAGAATAATTTAAACTCAGTATGTCATATTCCAAATATACAGAAAAGACCTGATTATATTAAACACATTTATCTTCTGCTATAAACTAGGTCATCCAGCCAGATCCCAACTCTTTAATATCTCATGACTGAAGTAGCTAAGTGTTCTCCCTGTCTGATGAATGATAGGCTATGTATGGAAAGCCTTAGAAGTCTGCTGTTTGTACTGAGGGGTGTATCTGTTTCAGCATGTTTCAGATACAAAAGTTGGTACTGACTCAACTATGCTGGTTATCAGAAGATGACTAGCCATATTGGTGCAGCGTTCTGCTGGATCAGTACAGATACTTATCAAAGAGCATGTTTATATCCTGCAAATATATTCGGAAACTAGTTTCTGAAAATTTTGTCCAGAAACCAGAAGAAATGGAAACAATTGCATCAACTCAATACCTTATATGAACTAATTAGTCCTGCTGAGAAACAAGCTATATTAGCAGAAGAGGAGCACTGCACTAGCACAAATACATGCCTCTGGTACCTCAACTAAAATCAGTATGGCAACATACTATGTAATGTAGGCATATTAATTCATTCAAAGCCAAATTTGTGGACAGCACCACACTGCCACAGTCTTGCTGGCTAGATTTATAGTTAGACTGGCAAGAATATTACATCAAAGTAGCTGCACTACTTGTAGTACCCAAACTAGCTTTGTCAAGAGGATGCTTTGGTAGCTCTGCAGTACTGCAATGTGCTCTGTAGACACACTTGGTTCTTGAAATGACTTTCAAGAGCAACTGTCGTTTCCAAGCGAATTTATAATGTAGAAGTAGCCTAGGTTTAAAACATAGTATAGGTGTAGAACGGTTGCATGATGGTCCGATGGCAAGGTCAGACGACATCCTGTCCTACGGCAGGCATTCCCTCTGTTCTTTAAATGGTTCCACACATAGGTGAGCTGTGTATGGAGAACATCGCACAATCTCTATACAATAATCACTGGACAAATTAGGAAAGCTGCAAATACCGCATTGATCATTTTTTTCCTATGAGGGGGGACAGAGGGAAAGGATAAAGGAATATGAAAAGAGAGGTAAAGTTCCTCAGTTTTCACATCCAATAGCTATCTTCCAATCTTAAAGAAAAAACCCAACAAATAAATAGACATGTGACTTCTTCCCAAAGCA